GTTTCAATTTCTCGTTTCTTCAATTTTTCGATGTGCAAAATTTCAATTTTCTTTTTTTTTTGTTTTTTCATTTTTAGATATGCGACTCTTCCAGTTTTCATTTTTAAATTTTTCAGTTGTTCGATTTTCCAATTTTTTGGATGTTTCAGTTCTCAGATTTTGCAGTTTTTGTATTTGCAATTTCTCGAGTTTTCAATTTTTAATTTCTCATTTTTTGCATTTTTCTATTTTTCGATTAGCAATTTTTCAAACTTTAATTTTTGGTAAGTACTGGCTAAGAAAAGACTGATTTTGGCAAATCACATACTCTCTAAGAAAAGAGAGGGTGGGTGGGCGGGCCTAGTACATGCTAAGGATAAAACGAATTTTGGCAAATCACATATCCTCTAAGAAAATAAAGGGTGGGTGGGCGAGGCTAGGACTTGCCAAGATAAGATTGAATAATAATAAGAGTAGTCATTGGAATGAAGAGGGGGTCGGTGGGCGGGGCCACTGCTTGCTTATAAAACTCTTTAGAAAAACCTAAACTCACCTCCGCCCACCTTTTTTGGGGTTCCTAGTGTTTTTTTCAGAATTCAAATCCCTAATAGTTGATTTCATCTTGTCTCGACGTTTTACACGATCTAGAAAATGAAAATAGATCCCTCGTTTTTGTCTATATAATATAATTGATTAAAAAAAAAATACCTACGTATTATTACAAAAATTGGTTGAAGATTATTTCGACAGAACTTCCCTCGCCTCGATTTTTGCTTGAATTTTTCAGTTCTTCAATTTTCCCACTTTTGATTTTTTCAATTTTTACATTTTGAAATTTTTCGGTTTTTTATTTTTGTTATTTTTTCACTTATTCAATTTTAGTTTTTTAGTTTCTCGTTTCTTCAATTTTTCGATATGCAAATTTTCAATTTTTCATTTTTTTTGTTTTTTAATTTTTAAGATATGCGACTCTTCCAGTTTTCATTTTTAAATTTTTCAGTTTTTCAATTTTCCAATTTTTTGGATCTTTCAATTTTCAGATTTTGCTTTTTTTTCTATTTTCAATTTTTAATTTCTCCCTTTTTGGATTTTTCTATTTTTCGATTAGCAATTTTTCAAATTTTAATTTTTGGTAGGTACTGGCTAAGATAAGACTGATTTTGGCAAATCACATATCTCCTAAGAAAATAAAGGGTGGGTGGGCGGGGCTAGGACTTGCCAAGATAAGATTGAATAATAATAAGAGTAGTCATTGGAATGAAGAGGGGGTCGGTGGGGGGGGCTACTGCTTGCTTATAAAACTCTTTAGAAAAACCTAAACTCACCTCCGCCCACCTTTTTTGGGGCTCCTAGTGTTTTTTATCAGAATTCAAATCCCTAATGGTTGATTTCAGCTTGTCTCGACATTTTACACGATCTAGAAAATGAAAATAAATCTCCCGTTTTTGTCCACATAATATAATTGATTAAAAAAAAAAAAATTATCCACGTATTATTACAAAAATTGGTTGAAGATTATTTCGACAGAACTTCCCTCGCCTCGATTTTTGCTTGAATTTTTCAGTTCTTCAATTTTCCCACTTTTGTTTTTTTCAATTTTTACATTTTGAAATTTTTCGGTTTTTTATTTTTGTTTTTTTTTCACTTATTCAATTTTAGTTGTTTCAGTTTCTCGTTTCTTCAATTTTTCGATATGCAGTTTTTCAATTTTTCAATTTTTTGGATGTTTCAATTTTCAGGTTTTGCTTTTTTTTTCTATTTTCAATTTTTAATTTCTCACTTTCTGGATTTTTTAATTTTTCCATTAGCAATTTTTTAATTTTTAATTTTTGTTAATACTTGCCAAGATAAGACTGATTTTGGCAAATCACATACCCTCTAAGAAAAGAGAGGGTGGGTGGGCGGGCCTAGTACATGCTAAGATAAAACGAATTTTGGCAAATCACATACCCTGTAAGAAAAGAGAGGGTGGGTGGGCGGGCCTTGTACATGCTAAGATAAAACGAATTTTGGCAAATCACACACCCTCTAAGAAAATAGAGTATGGGTGGGCGGGGCTAGTACTTTAAAAACCCATTTACGATATTTAATTTTGAAGTGACGTCAGCACATTATTGGTGGGGATGATGAGACAAATTTTGGTTGGCGTTTCTATCCAAGCGAAAAATTTACCATAGATTACGAATTTGTAATACAATTTGTATCTTGTATCCTAAATTACAGAAGAGAATAAAATAAGATTTTGAAAAATTTTCCAAAAAATCATAAAACCAGGCGTATTTAAGCAAAAAATGATGGTATATTACTAAAAATTCACCCTTAATTCAGAGTATGACGTTCAAAGAGTTCGATTTTATTTATCAAAAAAATTTCAAAAAAAAGGTAAATGTGCTATTGAGCGGAAAAATATCGGTTTGTAGACACTTTTCCACGGATTACGAATCTGTAGTGTTTTTGCGACACTTCTTTAAATAACCGAAAAAATTGAGATTTCCATTTTCAAAAATTTTCCAAAAAATGATAAAGTCGGGAAATGATAAATAAAATTGAATATTAGATTTCCAAAATTTTTCAAAAAAGCAGTGAAAGTGGCTCTGTTCGAGCAGAAAAAAAGTGGTAGCGGAAAATGATTTTTCTGCAAATTACGAATCCGAAATCATATCAACAACGCCATTTCAAATAGTCGACAGAAATAAGACTTTAATTTCCCAAAATTTCCAAAAAAAAAAAAAATGAAAGTGGCTGCATTCAAGTGAAAAATTAACTATGTTACCTTATAAAATTTGTTCTAGGTTACGAATCTGTAGCGCCCTTTAATACCTCTTAAATAACCGAAAAAATGAAAGTGAATTTATTGATTTAAATTTTCAAAAATTTTCCAAAAAATGGAGAAATCGGGAATTTTGAAGGTGAAATTGAAAAAGATGGAAATTCAATTTCCAAATTTAAAAAAAAAAAGTGTCTTTACAGTATCTCTTCAATTAACCCAAAAAATATGATTGTAATTAAAAAAAAATCAAAATTTCTTTTTCTTAATATGTATATAGTTTTCTTTCAACAACACAATATTTAAAGCATTGGGATCCCCGAAATTGTGTCTTAATAATTTAAAATAGACCCGAGATTCTTTAATAATCTTTTGAAAGGATCAAACAAATATGAATTTTGCAATTAAACTCCGCCTCTAGAGCTGACAACAAATTAAAAATTCGTCACAATTGAGAAGGGCGGGTGGGTGGGGCTTAATTAATCAAGGGTTGTCTTTATTAATATGTATAGGTTTTCTTTCAACAACATGATACTTAAAGTATTGGAGGAACAGACAAACAGACAGACAGACAGACGGAAACGGGAGACGTAAAAGTAGATAGTCACCCGACGGATTCGATTACATAAAAACTGTAACTAAGTAGCGTGAATTAATATTAAACGTAGAACGCACACGCTATTACGAACACAAAAACTCGAAACTTTTTATCCGCCACTTTAACTTTTGATAAACCTCATTTTACTACCTCGAATCCCAGAACCGCCCCTGCAGGCACCGGACGTAATTCGATCATCCCTGAAACAGTCTTCGCACGAAAATTACTCCGATACTCCCTCAGCGACTCCGCACACTACAAAAACTCCCTCGTTCTTCCCCAAACAGCCCCATTAGTTTCCTGGGCGATATACCAACCGGTCAGTCTTTTCGACGACGAACGTGCGCACAGCCGTCGATAATACCGACGATAAATTTGTTTCCGTGTTTAAATTACACGTGGAAGAGCCCACCTGCGTATTGATTAGCAACTGCTTAAAAGAGCAAGATTTATGTACACAAGAACCCCAATTCCTCCGTCTGAAAATCCATCGGGTCAATCGCCAACCGCGGTCTCAAATTGCGATACTTAATACAATATCGACCAATTAGAATCAATTATTTTCGGTCCTTGCGTAATTTTTCAGCGACTGGTTGCTATGTAGTTTTTGCGGTTAAAATTGGCAGCGGTAAGTAGCGGCTTGCACATGGCCGGGGTATAAATAGTTGCGGTGCACGTAATTAATTTGTTGCTGCAAAAGAACCATTACGCTAAGTGTCTCGCTCTGCTTAAAACACCTGGTTTACCACAACACAGGTGTTTACAAAATTTAATTCAAAATGCTGACAGTGAAATTGAATTTATTCCTGGACGAGACTAATTCTGGATCATTCATGAGGTAAGGTAGATTCGCAAATTGCGGGGAACGGACCAATTAGCTAGGTCGTTTTATGCTTTTATGCACACACAAATATTTACACTAAACTTAGAACGACAAATCGAGGTGCAATAACCGAATACGATCCTGCCTGGATTCAACAAGCTTTATTTCTAATGGCTTCTTGCTTTTGCGTCAACAGAAGAACAGTTATGGCTTCTGGGAACGCAGAAGTTTTCCTTGGCATTGGTTCAATGTCGTCGCAATTGTGGGAATTGCTATTAATTGCCAATTTTGTTTTTAAATAAGCCGAAACGCGAACTTGAAACTTTAACAACTGATTCTCTCCAAAAACCCGATGACGTCACCATTTAATTTTAATACACAGATAATCGAAAAACAAACCGATCCGGAAAATATGGGTTACGAGATTATTTATCACTAGAGTAAATAACACAGCTATAAAATTTCGACGAACTTTTGAATGGAACGATCATAACGATTTTTAAATATCCGCTCTAATAAAACTTAGATTCGTAAACAAAGACCCAGTTAATTTCCTGTGTCGTTCAATGAGGTTAGAAGCTACTATTAAATTAATGGGATCCCTGAAACAATCGACTCGTCGCAATAATTAATAATTTAGATTAAATTAACGAGCAATGTACACTTATTGTTATTATTATTATTAATTAATATTAAAATCGAGTTACGGAAAATATTGTTATTAAATAAACTTGACCGATGGCAGTGAATGTTTATTTATTATGCAAAGTGTTTAAAAACATGTTGACAGTTCACGACGGGCACGAAAAGCGCGCAGTCCGTCCCTGTCCTCGACCCTGATAGGCCGCAGCCTATCACCTCATGCCACACATGTCATTTGCTTCTGTCGTCTGTCAAAACAGTTTAAATTTCCCAAAAATTAAGCGAAACAAATACAGTAAAATGCGGCAGTAACTAACACGTAACTACAACAAAAACTCGGTTTTAATAATTAAAAACAAGAAACAACCACGATGCCAACACAACAAAGAACACAAGGTGACAATGCGATTCAATGTTTTCAAGTATCATCCTCATCGGACATTTATAATCGCCCTTTCCTGTCCCCGTATCAGATCAGGGGTAGACCCAGCTACCGTAGATCCTTTAACATTACCCATAGTAGCCCCAATATGAACCACAACCACGAAAATCCCGTCCGAAAACCAAGTAGGTGACATAACCTCAAAAAACTGCTTTGTGTTTTGTGTGTATTAATGTAACTTGTGGCGGTTTTTGTTGTAGATGCTGCAATTTCAACAAGAGTGGCACTCATCTCCGTGCTTATAATCTTCATCGGCTCGCTGTTCGCCCTGTTTTTAGTGTACAAGACATTCCCAAAAGTGACAGAGTAAGTATGACTTTGGAAACAACACTGGCTTTAATATAACCCGATTTGTAGCGAGGAGCGCCAATTCATCAAACTCCCATGGAACATAGAAGACGCCAAACAGCTAGGAATCGTTCTAAGTCGGTACAAAACAGACCACTACTTTCAAGTGATGACAGGAGTTTTCATAACCTACATTTTCTTACAAACTTTCGCCATCCCAGGATCGTTGTTTTTGTCGGTCCTGTCGGGTTTCCTTTTCCCGTTCACCATCGCGCTGATCCTGGTGTGCACGTGCTCGGCACTAGGAGCCTCCCTCTGCTTCTTACTCTCTCAACTCTTGGGAAGAAAACTAGTCCTCAAGTATTACCCCGAAAAGGCGCAGGCTTGGGCGCACCAAGTCGACAAGCACCGTGATAACTTATTTAATTACGTGTTATTCTTAAGGATAACGCCGTTTTTGCCCAACTGGTTTATAAATTTGACGGCACCTGTGATCGGTGTCCCGTTGGTGCCTTTCGCTGTTGGAACCTTCTTTGGAGTGGCGCCGCCGTCGTTTGTCGCTATTCAAGGGGGGCAGACGCTGCAGAATTTAACGGCGGACGATTTTGCCATCAGCGCTGGATCTCTGACGTGGTTGGCGGTGTGCGGGGTGGTGCCACTGGTGCCCGTTATTTTCAAAGGCTGGTTTAAGGAGAAACTTGAGTAATGAAAGTATTTATGTTCCGTTAAATTCATTCCTGACTTTTGTACACGTGTAGTCTGACCAGGCACAGGCTCAAGAATTGTATATCATTTTGGAGAGAAATAAAGTTGTTTGTTAAAATAGTTTATTCAGTCGGGTTAACAGTAAGAGCTTAGGTAGGTGATGGAGGACTCGGGGGAGTTGGGAAGACTGATGGGGCGCCAGTACCACCAATTGTACCATACTAGAAGAGACAAAAAGTGAGAGTGTATAGGCAACCCAAAATACACTTACGCATATACGAGGGCTTGAGGACCACAGACACGGTTTTACAAACGTCGCCACACTCCCTAGATGGTTTTAGAATTATGGTTCTTTCACCCATTCCTTGGGTGAGAATCACGTAGCTGCATTCAGGATTGGGTAGAACGTAAGGAGTGGCATTGGGGGCGTCCATGATTATAAAACGTTCTATACTTTGGCCTGACCATTCAGAGATTATAGGTGGTCTAGGAAATAGCTGCCTTATTAATCTCCCAGGGGACATTTTGTTAATCCTCCAGGTCACGTGAGTGGAAGACTGCACCCCAAACTCAAACAACTCCCCCAAACTACTAACAGATGAGTTAGTAGATTTGATATAGTTGGCTTCTTTATCAAAAACCCCTTTATTATCTACATACAGCTGCTTTAAATCTTCAAAAAATACTTCCTTTTGTTGCGTCTGAAACAACGATTTCAGTAGGTATAAATCTGGTTTGAGAATTCTCTCACTTTGATTATGTATGGGGTGCCTGATTGGTACAAACTGTGATTATCAAACCCCGTTAGATCCATCACAGAGTGCACATTTTCACATGGCCAACACTCCATATCCGACACATAAAAGTACGGATTTTCCACCAAACAACTTTCGTCGTACAACCCTGAAACGAATGTTTTAGCAACGAAGTACAATGGGAATCCCGGTACCTGTCAGCGATGGGTATTTCCGAATTATGGGCACAGACAGAAACCTTAATATTTTAAGGCCCGGATAAATCAGACCTTGCACGTTTCTGAGCACCAAACTGGAAGTGGGTTGATGTACGTTCAGTAAAATGTAGATGCACGTCGAGACTAGCGTAAATATAAAAAATATTTTGAGTATTGTCGTTGCGTATTTTTGAGCATTGCCCGAGTTTCGAGGCGGCTTTGGATTTTCGTGGTCTAATTCGTTGAAACATTGTTTAAATATTTTGGTAATTTCTTTATCACTGAAGTTTAGTTCTTTGGCACATTTTCGTAAATTGTTCACATCGTTTTTGTATTGTTGCAGGAGTTCTTGTTTTGACATTTTACATAACCTAGAACGTCAATCGGGCGGGGGAGAAATGCGAGTTTTCAGGAAAGTCTGCATTTTAATTTTCTTTTTGGTCGTGGTTTTGGGTGATTGGGGGTGGGTTAGAGAAGTCTGAAATGGATTAATTTTTTTTATGTAAAGATTTGGAAAAAAGTGTGGCGCGACATCTGTCAGTGGGTAGTGTGATTATCGAGTTGGTTTTCAATGTGGCGCCAAAAATGACTAATTTTACAAAAAGTTGTCAATTTTTGTAACGTAATGGTAACAGAACGAGCGCTAATTTTACATTTTTTGTCAATACTGACTGATTTCATGCATGTCTGACGGATTCACTTCTGTCAAATTACACTTTCTTACAATGGAGGCGTAACGTCACTTTGACAGTTGCATTTACAACTCCTATTTCGACGAGGCGGCAAAGGCGAACGTCCATTTTATTATAATTATATACCTGGTGTCTGGAAAATGCCAGATTAACTCTTCAGTACGTTATGTAGTATCTATAATTTCACTGTGTTTTTTTATTAGATGAAGATTGAATTTTATTTTGTCAAGTCGAATCTGCTCTTGAAAAAGTTCAAAGTGGCTTCACCCACCCACCGAGAACTGCAAATTTAAAGTCACTAGAATTTCTTTTAATATTTTTATTAATGATTACAATCTGATAAGATAAGACTGATTTTGGCACTTTTGACATTTTCGACCATTTTTCAACTATTTTCGAAAATTTTCGGATTTGTTTCTTCGGAAATTCCCATCATTTTTCCAAAATCGCTAATTGAAATATAACAATTTTTACATTTTTTTTTTCACATCCTACATTCTATTGTTTTCAATTAGTTTCCACCCCCACTCGACATAAGAACTCACCCCCGACCACCCACCCTGTCTCCTTTTCAGTGATTGATTTTTTCCGATCTGAATAAAGTGAATGATCTTATACTGAAGAGAAATAAAGTCCTTAAAGTGAAAAGTGGGGGGTGGGCGGGGCTAGTATTTGCAAAGATAAGACTGATTTTGGCAAATAACATACCCCCCAAGAAAATAGAGGGTGGGTGGGCGGGGCTAGTATTTGATAAGTTAAGACTGACTTTGGCACTTTTAACATTTCCGATCGTTAGTTGAAAATATTTTCTTGTAGATTTCGATATCCAGAAGAGATTTTCGGCTTCGTTTCTTGGGAAATTCCTACCGTTTTTCCAAAATTTTTTGATTAGCTGGAGATTGAATTTTATTTTGTCAAGTAGTCGACTCAGCGTTTGAAAAAATTCAAAGTGGCCCCGCCCACCCACCCGGTTTTCTTTCTAATCACTCATTTTATTGGACAAAAAGTGGCATTTACATTGATACAGAGTGGAATGTAGTCATTAGAAATACATTTTATAGGAAATAGATAACAAAAAAGTTACGATTGGCGCTTTTTTAGTTTTTTCACATCCTAGATTCTATTATTAGTTTCCACTCCCACTCGACAAAAGAACATAATTAGCCCCGCCCACCCACCCTGCCTCGTTTTCAGTGATTGATTTTATCCTATCTGAATCATCTTATACTCAACAGAAATAAAATTAGTTGTTAGAATGAGAAAAGGGGCGTCGGCGGGGCTAGGACTTGCTAAGATAAGACTGATTTTGGCAGATGACATATCCCCAAGAAAATAGAGGGTGGGTGGGCGGGGCTAGTATTTGGTATGGTAAGACTGATTTTGGCACTTTTGACATTTTGGCCCCGCCCAATTTTCTTTCTGATCACTGATTTTATTGGACAAAAAGTGTATTTTCAGTTGATAAAACTAACTCCACCCAGCTCCATTTTTTGAATTTCATTGGATAATTTCACTTCCTCTGAGATGAAAATGTTATTTTAAATCGTCAAGTGGTTCAATTTAAGCTTAAAAAATTTAAAGTGGCCCCGCCCACCCACCCGGTTTTCGATCTAATTACTTATTTTATTGGACATCCAGTGGCATTTATACTGATATAGAGTGGAATGTAAACAAACAGGTAAAATAAGAAATACATTTTCTAGCAAATAGTATAACAAAAAAAGTTACGATTGGCGCTTTTTTTACTTTTTTCACATCCTAGATTCTATTATTAGTTTCCACTGTCACTCGACAAAAGAACATAATTAGCCCCGCCCACCCACCCTGCCTCGTTTTCAGTGACTGATTTTATCCTATCTGAATTATCTTATACTCAACAGAAATAAAATTAGTTGTTAGAATGAGAAGAGGGGGGATGGGCGGGGCTAGTACTTGCTAAGATAAGACTGATTTTGGCAGATGACATATCCCCAAGAAAATAGAGGGTGGGTGGGCGGGGCTAGTATTTGGTAAGATAAGACTGATTTTGGCACTTTTGACATTTTGGCCCCGCCCGGCCACCCGGTTTTCGTTTTAATCACTGATTTTATTGGACAAAAAGTGTATTTTCAGTTGATAAAACTAACTACACCCAGCTCCGTTTTTGAATTTCATTGGATAATTTTATTTCCTCTGAGACGAAAATTTTATTTTAAATCGTCAAATGGTTCAATTTAAGCTTAAAAAAAATCAAAGGGGCCCCGCCCACCCACCCGGTTTTCTCATTTTATTGGACAAAAAGTGGCATTTACACTGGTATAGAGTGGAATGTAGACAGACAGGTAAAATAAGAAATAAATTTTATAGCAAATAGTATAACAAAAAAAGTTACGATTGGCGCTTTTTTTTACTTTTTTCACATCCTAGATTCTAACTATTATTACTTTTCACTGAGAAAATAATAAGCCCCGCCCACCCACCCTGTCTCCTTTTTAGTGATTGATTTTATCCAAACTGAATGAAATGAATGATATTATAATCAACACAAATAAAATTAGTTGTTACAATGAGAAGAGGAGAGTGGGCGGGGCTAGTACTTGCTAAGATAAGACTGATTTTGGCAGATGACATATTCTCTAAAAAAAGCAGGGTGGGTCGGCGGGGCTAATAATTAATAAGATAAGACTGATTTTGGCAAATGATATACTCCCCATGAAAATGGAGGGGGGGGGGTAGTATTTGCTAAGTTAAGAGTGATTTATGACATACTCTCTAAGAAAAGAGAGGTTGGGCGGGCGGGGCTAGTATTTGGTAAGATAAGACTTATTTTGGCACTTTTGACATTTTGAACCATTTTTCAACTATGTTTTTCCGAAAATTAGTTGAATACATTTTTTTGTAGATTTCGATTCCCAGAAGCCATTTTCGGCTTCGTTTTTTCGGAAATTCCTACCAGGCTTCCAAAATTTTTTGATTAGCTGAAGATCGAATTTTATTTTTCAAGTATTCGGTTCTGCGCTTGAAAAAATTCAAAGTAGCCCCGCCCGAGGAGAGTGGGCGGGGCTAGTACTTGCTAAAATAAGACTGATTTTGGCAGATGACATATCCTCTAAAAAAAACAGGGTGGGTGGGCGGAGCTAATATTTGATAAGATAAGACTGATTTTGGCAAATGATATACTTCCCAAGAAAATAGAGTGGGGGGTAGTATTTGCTAAGTTAAGAGTGATTTTGGCAAATGACATACTCTCTAAGAAAAGAGAGGGTGGGTGGGCGGGGCTAGTACCTGCTAAGATAAGAATGGTTTTGGCAAATGACGTATCCTCTAAACTAAACAATTTAATTACATATTATAAGAAAAGACACTAGAGGCTCCAAAGCACTTTCAAATTTTTACTAAACAGGAATACCCAGAACCTCCCAGCTCGAAAACAGATCAGGTCAGAATTTTCCAAAAATAGAAAGCCAAAATTGTTTTAAATAATTTACAAAAAAATCTCCATGAGCTCCCAAAATAATACACCATAGACACCTCCCGAATTAAAAGAAAAACACTGGGACCTAAAATTTTTGCTGATTTGTACCTTCGTTTTATATCAGGCAGACATTGTTGCCAAATGGAATTAGTTTTATTACTAGTTATTGTGAAAATGAATGTGTTGTTGTGTTTTAAAATCATTATAACCACCAAAATGTGAGAAGGAATTTACTATTTTTCATTTTCCAGACACTCTGTATAACCGAAAAACAATAAAAATAGTATTAAAATCGACATTGTTTTTATTACGTGGTTAAAAATCAAAATCTGGGTAATTTTGCACGTTGTACCTTCCCCTGTTTTTACAATAAACGAAAATCTTCTTCGTGACGTAAGCCACAATCCAAAGACCCACGTCAAAAATGTAAAACCAGTATGCGTACGACAGCAAAACGTAAATTTCAAAATTACAAAAATAAATAATTGAATAAATTAATATCACAAGTAGTCCGGTTGAAATTTCGAGTGCTCCACGCATCGTCTGCCACTTGGCTTCTCCGAAGAACTCTTCATTGGCAATGCTTTCGGCGTACATGATAATTCCATGACCGAGTCCGAACGTCAGAGAGAACAGCACAAAATTATCATAGCTGAATTTATGAACAACATCTAAAACAAACCAAATCAATACACCATAAATTGCGGTACCAACGAAACTTACATAAACTAAACCCGAGCACCGAAAGCCCCACCAGAAACAGCGCCTTCGTCTTAAACGCCGACAACTTATTGAAAACGGGGTACCCAGCTAGGAAAAAAATCCACGAAAAGCCAATCAGCGTCAACAAAAAAGTGGCCTCTTCAGTCGTGTTGGGGTAATTGCGGTACTCGTGCTCGTTGTGAAGAAACATAAAGTACGGAGCGGCGGCAAAGACGATAGCCGACGAAGTCGAGGTGACGCAATTCGACACCACCGCCGGATAAAAGTACCCACAACCCAGCGTCCTCGGAACCGCCTTGACGAAATTCTTGTAACAAAACGCCTTCAGCTTCCTCTTCTTCGCTTTAACGTCGTTCACGAAACTGGAGCTAATACTGAAACACCTCGCCTTCTTCTGACTAGCTTCGCTCAAGAACTCCACCTCCACATTGTCAG